AGTTGTTTAAAAAAAAAAAAAGACTAATGTCCAAATAAAACATGAATAGCTAAAGCTAGTACTCTCTCCGTCCGTTATTATAAAATCCTTTTAACTAAATTATGAGGTTTAAAAAAATATTTAAAATTAGTTAAAAACAATTAATATGTAGTAAATACAATTTTTTTTCCAAATATACCCCTATGTATAAATAGGTAAATGTGAGAGAGTAATAGTGAGATAAATGAAGAAGGAGAATGTATTAAATGCATTAAATTAAGAGTAAAATAGGTAATGATGTATTAAATGCTCAGATAAACTCAAAGAGGATCTTATAAAAAGGAACAGACCTATTCAAAAAAAGTAGATCTTATAATAAGAGACGGAGGAGTATTAAATTATAAGCATGCAAACCTTTTTTTAAATGTGACTTTGTATCATAATCACGTGTTTGATATTTCTTTATCAGGTCGGTGTGTTAAACAAGTTATATAAAAGTTCACAAGATATCTGAATTTGATTTAGAGAGAAATTATATTCTTTAAAGTGAAAAGTTTGCGCTTTCTAATTAATTAACATACTCATCGGTTCATAAAACAAGAAATTTTCTACAAAAAAAAAAATTGATCTGAAATATAAGATGTTGACAAAATAATTAATAATAGTTTTCTTATTTATTACATGATTCTCTATCTCAGAAGCACTTCATACTTTATATAAATCTTCATTTTAGGATATTCAAATTATTTTTCAAAAAAATCATATAACTTCTAAGGTTTCAATATATAATTTTCAATAAAAATATGACAAGTTAAAATACTTAATTATTATCTTTCTTATTTATTATTTTATCGCACTTATTCCTAATTCTTTCTTAAATAAAAAAACACGTTTGATATATAGTCTTCTTCCTTCATTTTTATTTATGCTCTTTTTACTACATCAATGACTCAGTCCCTAATGTAGTACTTTCTTGTTAATTTGATATTTTAAAAAATAAAAATTTTAATTTTAAAAACGGTCTTCTCAATTATTTAATCCATATAATATCGCCATTCTATTTTTTCTTTCTTTCTTTTGGTTTTTTTCTCATCCTTTCAATTGGATGTTTCAAAGATATTATGTCAATTTAGTCCACAAATATTTTCTTCCAATCAAAATTGCCCATATATTGGATTGACAATAAGTGCCTTCAACTCCCAAACTGTTTTTTGTTTACCTGTAGAATTAAAATCAATTGATATTGACACGTCATTATCAATATTATTATAAAATATAAAATTTTAAATTTTACAATAGGATGCATCATTCATACAATTATGTCAGATATGTGTTACAGTGGTCTTGTGCTATTAAACATTCGCATCTCCAAGTGCTATCTTTTCTCCTATTATCAAAAGAGAGCTAATATAATATATATATATATATATATATATATATAGTTTAAATGCATGCACATATATAAATATGTCTAGCTATAGAATTTCATCCAAACATGACAGGTGGCACTACCACTGAAGCAACTTGATGTTAACATTAAAAAGAAGCTAATAAAGATGACGTTTGCCGAACAATAATTTTATTATGAAATTGTTTTTATTTGAATGAGTATCTTTCGTTAACAAAATAAAAGTGAAATCATTTTTTAAATTGGAAAAGGAGCTAGGACTAGATATCTGAGATTTCAAATCTATTAGTAAATTTTTTTTTTGAAAATATGTTTTTGAAATTTATCTCTATTCTCATAAAATTCACTCTCATTGGGGGGGGGGCCTTTAAGTGCGCAAGTTTCTTGTATATACAGAGTGAAATGAAATCTACAAAATCTGCTAAGCCATAGAATGAAATATAGAAGAAGGGGCAAAAGGGTATTTCTCCTGTGAAAAGCTATTGAAGCTGATCGTTTTACTGATGCAAGTTGAAAGAAGTAATTGTCTCATTGTAAGAAATTAAATAACACCTTAACCTCTTATTAGGTTTGGGTTCAAAACCTTCTGTAACCACTCAAGTTTTGCATTGGTGGTAACTTTATGTACAGAGGCTCCTTAGTGGTCAAGTACTAAAAAGACTTTGAATGTCAATGGCAAGGTATCCTAATAATAGTGCCACCCGTCAAGTTTGGACGAAGTTTCAGACTTAAGTTGACATCTTTACGTACATGTTTGTTCAAATTAGATTTAAAAAAAAAAGTTTTCAAGTTGCTTAACACTGACCTTTACCTAATGCATATATAAATGCTGTCTGTTGAGATCTTTAGTAGTGGTCTATGTCATAAGAGTATAAATGCTAAGTCTCTCTTAGTTGAACACAATCAATATGAATTAAAAGGACCAATTTTTAATAAAAATCAAAACAAAAGTTTGTTTCAAGGATTTTTTTTTTTTTTGGGTTCATTTTCCATGAATCACATATTCACTCAAATCACATGGCATTATCCTGACCATAAAAGGGCCAACCAACCTAGCAAGCTGGCCATAAAAAATAAGCGAAGAGGGAATTAGATTTTTTTTTTTTTGAGCTGAAGGGAATTAGATTATTTATTCTGAATTATAGAATCAAATTGGTTACAAAATAATGGAAAAAGATTTGATTTGATGATGCAGGCAAAGAGATCTGAATCAAATAGTGGTGGACCCCAGTTTATATTATGAAACCAGCACCCCTCTTTTCTTTGCTGTGGAGTCTAGAGATCCACCTGATACTTTCAACATATTTGGAGGTCAGTTAACTTTCACAACACACACGATATCATAATTCTCTTAAATTTTGGATTGTGTATGGATAATCTGCATGGTTTTAAAAATTTACCTATGAACTTAAGAAGAACAGAAGAAAGGTTTTTGATTAAAAATTTTATTGGTAAGGATAAATTAGAATACCGGTACTTTATCTGCACAAAATTTTTAGAGTGCCGATATTTTCTTCATATAAAAATGTTATCAAGTCCTTCTTACCAATAAATTTTCAATGGAGAATTTTTTTTTCCAATTTTTCTATAAACCTACTTAGACTTTCAAATATATGTAATTAGATAACTTATTTTTCATTGATTATTTTGTTACTTTATTGGCATGGTTGAGCAATTTATGGGATTTATCCATAGAAGACAAAAATTTAGGAAAATTTTTTTTGTACATAATCTAAAGTTTAAGAGGTTTCGCAAAAATAAAGTGTAAAGTAGTGTCACCACTATATAATGATTTAGTTAATGAAATAGTACAATCATAGATAACAAAAGGATTATTGGCACTTTTTATTCAAAAATTAATTAAAAAATCGATTCAAATACTTTCAAATAGTGGAATCTCAATTATAAATCATTGAAAGTTGCAATTGTCACAAAAACTCAAATGCTTGATTTGCAGCTATCACTCTCATATTTGCAGCCATCTGAATTGATATCTACAACTTATTCTAATTTTCAACCTTTAAGATGTAATAATACCTCTGATCCTAATTATAAGACCTCGTTTGTAGACTACAAACAAGGTCTTGTAATTAGAATCAGAGGTAGTATTAAAACAATGATGTAGACTTACCAAATGACACATAGCTGAATCTTGCGTGGATAACAGGGGAAAAAAAAAGAATAGGTCCTCAAAACACAGTTGTTTAGCTCTTTTTTTTTTCTTCATTGTTCTTTTGAGAAGTTGTTCATTGCATTGTGTTTTGAGAACCTATCCACATTTTATAATTGTTCTCCACGTTGCATTTCAAGAGGTTTTTCTTTTTCTTTTTTCTATTATCCATATAAGATCCAATTAGGTGTAATCGGGTAAGTTCACATAACCACTTTAACAGCATTTATGACACTTCAACAGATTTTAATACTATTATACTTGAACGAAGTTTAGGAACTACAACCACTAACTGGTTTAAAAATTGAATGACCAAAACTAAAATAGACCCAAATTTCAAAAACCAAAAATTTATTAATCCATTATTAAATTAAGTTTTTGAGACTTAACAAGATGTCATTCTTCTGATAGCTTATATAATCTATGAATGATTAGTGAGTGATGTGATGTGATATGTAATGTAATAATATAGGATCACCATGGGTGGTATTCACAAGAGCATTCATGGATTATTGTGTGAGTGGATGGGACAACTTACCTAGGAAGCTGCTAATGTTCTTCACCAACATGGTCTACCCTATTGAGTCCTACTTCCACACACTGTTATGCAACTCCATTGATTTCCACAACACCTCCATTGACAACTTCCTCATGTTCTCTCTCTGGGACACTGACCCTTCTGAGTCCCAATTCCTTGATCTCTCTCACTATGATTCCTTGTTGGAAAGTGGGGCTGCCTTTGCTCGTCCCTTTGCTCACAATGATTTGGTTCTTGACAAGATTGATGATCTCATCCTCAACACATGTCCTTCTTATTCTGGTGTTGTTTCTGGACAATGGTGCTCATCAAAACCAGACACAAATGATAAGAATACTAGTAGTAACGACACCATTATAGATTCTTCTTTTTCGTCTTCAGAGCCTCAAGATTTAATGTTGTTCTCTGCTAATACTGATGCCGTAAAGCCTGGGCCTTATGGTATCAAGCTTAAAACTTTACTTTCTGAAGTTGTTAGGAGGGATTATAGTACTAGTCAATGTCAAAAACTTTGAATAATCTAAATGAAAAGTCATAGTTTGATGAGTCTTTGATCTGAACATGGAAAGAGGGGGAATTGTTGAAACTTGTATTCACAAGTTTGAACAATGAGATGTTGTGAAGTTTTGTGAAGTGAAGTGAGAAGATTAGTATTCATATTCATTTATAGTTGGATTTGGCTTCCCCAACCTCCTTTTTCTTCTCATTGTTTTATTCAATTACTTATACAGGAATTTATGTTGAAAGTAAAATATGATGCATGTTTCTTATTTACTTGTTGCTTTGCACGTGCAATATTGTTTTGTTTCATTTTGGTTTCAAACATTTCAACTTTACTCTCTCAAGATTATCAATAATAATAGAAAAAACAGCAACAATTAATGCCAAAAACTTTTAAATCAAAGCGAGTTTAGATCTCCTCCTACTAGGGATAATAAGGAACAATATATATAAAGGGGGAGAGGTGAAAACCTCATATTCGCGCTTGAGTTTCACTCCCCTTTCCTCTTTTCCTCTTTGTTGTACTATTTTAACAACAATCTTTGGGAAAGCTAAAATAAGTCCCATGTTAAAAATTTTAGGATTTAAATCAAAATATTGATACTATAAAATTTGCAAAGTATTAATACTTTTTGTGTATAAAAATTTATTGGATTCAATAATATTTTTAATGGGGAACTTTTTCCCAATTTATAAGAAACACTAATAACCTGTTTGAAATTTTTACTATTATTTTTTATTTTTAAACTACTACTACCTCTGGTCCTAATTATAAGAGCCAGTTCACTAATTTGAGAAGGTTAAGGAAGTAAGTTGAGTTAGTTATTTGTCCTAAATAGGTGTTGTCTTTCCTAAAATATCCTTACTAATCAAACGTGTTGATTAGAACTATCATTGTTAGAAGGGTTACTTTGAAAAAAAATGTATAAATATGAGAGACAAAGTGGATTGGGGTCTTATATTTAGGACCAAAATAAAAGTCAAACAAGGTCTTATATTAAGGACCGGAGGTAGTAATTACTTTCACATCTCACCCAATTTATCTTCCAAAACTAATAACCTATTTGAAATTTTTAATACCATTTTTAATTTTAATTTTCTTTGCAATATTATTGTGTCCTTTCTTGTCCTCAAATACTTCCATTTTTTAGGTTGATGCTTGATTGATGATTGAAATAGTGCAACGCATTTAATTTGACACAAATGATTAATTAGAACAAGTGTAAAAATGAGATCCTTTTGTTTCATATGTGGCTAATAAAACACCCAAGTCTTCCACACGCAATGTAAAAGAGAATAAAACAATTTATGCTTTTTGTGACACGCACACATATATATGGATCTGTTTAATTACATGAACAGTTAGCAAGTCTGTAACCACAAGTCTAAGAGTACAAATTAAGAAGGCAAACGTATGGTTAAGAATGAAGCAGGACAGCTAAGCCAATAATGGGAGGTTTATTAGTTGTTGAGGTCATAAAAAGATGTGGTTTAAATTACCCAGAGGGACATAAAGAATCTTAATAATATTTTCTTTTATTGTTTTTTTTAATTTCCTCCAAACCCACCTATTGGATACTTTCAAAAAAGCTTTAAACGCCAACCACAATGTAAGAATTGCTTTTGCTGTTAGATTCAATTCACCCACCCTTTTCAGTGCCTCATTTACACCTCACATCTTCTTCTGATTAACCCCCTTCCTTGCTATGTGTGAGAAAAGCAATAGTTAGCCGTACCATATCAAAATGATTGGTCCCCAATTAACTTTAAAACAAAAAAAAAAAATCGCCTAATCTTTGAACCTTATACATCGTCAGATACAATTTTTAGGATAAATGTGGTCCTATTTATATTATATACTTAAAGAATGTCTAAAATTTTAATCTCTCTTTTTTTTGTTCCTATTTTCGCCTTTTTGTTAATTGCATGTTACTCCTTTGGTTCTTAATATATGACATAATTATTAAGTTAATTTTAGCCTTAAATATAAGACTTATTTATTATATATATGTATGTCAATTTTTCTTAAATTATCTCTATAGATACTCCCTCAACTATAATCAAGTGAGGAAGAAAGGATATTAATAAAAATGATTATGATGTTTTAGGAAAAACAAGTCATATTTTTTATAATTAACTAACTTACCTAACTTTCTTAATATAATCAAATTAATTAAATAGGTATTATATCAAAAAGCGGAGGAGTATGTCATTATATCACTTGCTTATCACTTTTTTTCCTATTTGCTCATTCTTTTTATGAATAAGAGTATTTTTGAAAAATAAAATACTCTTTTACACGCTTATTACATTCAACCAGTTTTAACTAATTTTGTTATCTATGTAATTTGATTATTCATATCTTATATATAGGATTAGAGAGAAGATAAAGTAAAGATAGTTTATTTGAAAACTTTATTTATATATTAATTAATGCCATTAATTAATTCATATCTAACCGTGACATACTATAAACTTATGAAGTATGAGTTGGGATAACTTGTCAAATGTAAGTTATCTCAACAGCAACGCCACTCGTCATACTTAGATGCGATTCCGAGTTTCAACTTAGCGTTGACATGTTTGTATGTGTGTGCATATTTAATTATAATATATATGTATATATAAAGAGTTAAGCGTGGAGGGATCAAAGAGATTAAATGACTAAAATTTAAAGGACAAAATTATACTAAATATAAGTGATTGATAGTATTGTGGAATGTACAAGAGGCTAGTTAATGTTAATAACAAGTAGGTAAGGCAGTGGCCAGAAACGTGAAGGCATAATCATGAACTGTTGGTATGTCTTTATTGAAGGACAACTGAGTAGACGAAACACAGACCAATGGCATTTTGATTATGACATTTCATTCATTCTCATTCCTATGTTCAATTCAACACATTTTTTCATGTCACTTTGTCTTTTTCTGCAAGGAAACATGTCCCTAATTTCCCTTTCTTCTTGTTTTTTTTTCCCTCTCTTTTGTTTGGATCCATTACCCCAACATGCCAATTTGTCCATTTCCTCCACGCTCAAATTCAGGAATAAAGGGAAAATTATTTATTAGCATACTATTATCCAAAAAAAACATTCAATTTGATTCATAATAGACTACTATTAACATGTCAATTTGTCCCAAAGCCTGCTCCTTTTGATCATCTTCATTTTCGAAATAAAGAGAAAATCATTTATCAGCATACTATTATCAAAACGCTCGGCTCAATTCAAATTAGCTGAATTTGATATTCAAAAGCCTATATAGCGCGAATTTAATTTGTTTGATATAATAAGCTACAATTTAAATTCAACTTTCTCAAACTAAATAAGTTGATTGTCCTAGAACAGAACAGAACTAATTTTACTAAGATCAAACAACAAAAGGGACAGAAACTCAGAGATCAAAGGCTTAATAGTGATCCGTTTTTGCAAATCTCTTTTTTTTTAATGATATGATAAGGAAAAAAAAACCAGAGAGAATATTAATAAGTTGATTTCAAGGAAGGGTTAGCACTCGGCCCATCCTTCCTCGAATTCGCGCCTAGCTTTTTTGGGTCTGAGGACACGTGTCAGCTTCTCCTCGGCCGCCACGATCACCTTGCCTGGCACTTTCGACATTTCCTCCAACTTTCTCAAATTCTGAGCCGTGCGTAACTGCCCGTCGCCACAATATCTCAGGCCGAACCAAAACGACGTCGCCACCGCCACTCTGAACGGAACCGCCGCCATTAGTTTCCCCATCGCCTGCGACGCCAAGGACGCCACGCAATTGCCATTTAACCCTAACTTTCTGCTCCAATTCACGAATACCTCCTCCGCCGCGCACCGCCCAGGATTCTTCTTCTTCCCTTGCGCCGGGCACCTCTCATCCGCAACGGAACCGGACGACGCCACTGTCTCCGTCCGATGACGAATCTTCTTCGGACCTGTAGCACAGGACTCCGTGCTTGACACGCAAGCCGACATGGAAGACGAAGACAGGCAATCCTCCTCATCGGAGTGCTTCTCCGGCGAACAATTCCGACAGGACATAGTTTCAAGCGGCACTACGCTTCCGGAAACCTGTCTTCCTGCGAAACACTTGCAATCGCAACACAGAACCTCCCGGATATGGCGAGCAACTAAGAAATTAGCATCATGAACCTTAGCGTCACATTTCCAGCAGAGAAACGCAGAATCCGAGGCACAATACAGGTACGCCTCCTGGCTACACAACTCACAAATCCTCGGCTTCATTTTCAATAGATCCAAACAACTGATCACAAAACAAACCGCCTCTAACAATAACCTGACACAGAAACTCGGCGTTCCTCTGAAAAATTCCGAACAGAAATGTGTGGAAGGAGAAGAGAGAGAGAGAGAGAGATCGATGTGCGGAAGGGGCTTTGGTTGGAAAGGAAAATGTGGGAGGGAGAGAGAGAGAGATCAAAGGGATACCATAAGAATCTGTGGTTTCAATGGAGGGTCAATAGAACGAGAGAAAAAGATTTAGGGGTTAAAATAGAACACACAGGGAGAAGAGAGAGATTTGAGGGGAGAGATATATAGGAGAGGAAGAGAGAGAGGCGGTGACGATATATGGCTTAGGTGTTATTCAGCCAGTGATGGAAATGGATGTATGGCTCATATGTGAAATTTATTAAATACTCCTTCGCGATTCGTTCACATATATGGAGAATTTCAAGGAGCATATGTAAACCAAGTCTCGTGGCTCCTTCTTCATCTTTATCTTTCTCTTTGAAAAAAAAAAAATCCTTTATTTTTCACAAATTAAATTTCTTTTTTTAAAAAATAAAGAATGCACAGTACCATACTGTACGAAATTTGAAAAATTAGTGGTATTATTTTTTAACTTGAAAATAGTGAATTTGTTATCAATGCTCATCATTTTGTGTTGAATAAATAATGTTAATATTGAATAAAATTTAAGATACTGAAAACCGAATTGACCGTTAAACTGGTCATAATAGTTGTTCAAAGGTTAATAATCCAACTATGATTGAACTGTAGTTAATCAAGTTACTAAATTTTTTATTTTTTTAAATTTCAAATGGTACTATCATTTTAAACTTAACAATAAAAAAAAATAAAATACAACATCCATTTAAAATTCTTAAAAAGACCATACACAAAACTTGTTCACCAATTTATTGTCTGACTACCCCTGTCAAATTAAGTTTTAGCGGCTATTAATTCATTACTTTCACAAATAAATTTCTATATATATATATATTACGTGTAATGTATGAAATTTGAAAAATACTAGTAGTTATCTTTAACTCAGTAATAATTTTTTATTATTTGGTATTGAATAAATTTTTGACATTTTTATATACTTCCATATATGGATATTATGGCCAAGCTTATCCCATAAGCGTGAAGAACAAGTCGGCTTAAACTATTTGCGTTGGCATAAAAATGAAAGCATGAAATCCGGAAAATGAGGTCAACTATTTTCAAGTTGTGCGGATAATTTTGTTTCCGCCTGTTCTTTGTTTCTTGTCTCAGGGATGTTTGGGATTTGGAAAATACTTTTTCGTAAATCGAGATAAATTTTTTTATATATTTATTTCGTATATTATAAAATTACTTTTAAAATCATAGTTTAATTTCTATCCAAACATCTACTTAGTGTTCATGTTCTTGTTGTTTAGTTTTTCTGTCTTCTTTTTTGGTTTATATTAGGCTTTTATATTTTTATCAAAACTTATCATGTACTACTAAATTGTTTATCTATCGTATTTTTAGTTTTGAAAGAAGAACACTGTACGAAAAATGTACTGAACTGTTTCTTTTTTCCTTATAAATATTAAGTTTTTTTAATAAATTTCTACTCTTTTGTATGTAATAAATAATGTTAATGTTGATTTAAATTATGTGACCTTTCCTAGTCAGAAAATTTTAGGGCCAAAAAAGAGTTGGAAAAGACATTATAATGATTTTATACATTTATATTATGTTTTTTTTTTTTAAAGTGATGAAAGGGAACTGGATAAAGCTAAAATCCAGCCAACGACAATGGATATGTGATAAATTTTATAGTTTGTATTGATATTAATATTGTTTTAAATTATATGATCTTTCAGAGTCAAAATTTTCGGGCCAAGAGAAGTTAAAATTTTTTGCAATTAATGTAATTTTATAAATTAAAATTATGTTTGGTGTTAACATCACTGTTGGTTTTTACAATTTGATTAAATTTTAACCTTTTTTTATCATTGATTAAATTTTAACTTTATTGATTCATGGAATCAATTTCATTACTCATCTCAGTAACAAGTACCATATAGTTTCAAGTAGTTTATTTTGGTTCTTATATAAGAACTTAATATGAGTTTAAGTATAGGGATCAAAACTAATACTCATTAAGAGTATATGGACCATTTGTTAACCCAATACCCATTCCTCTGAAATTATAGGGATCAAAACTAATAATCTAAGACTATAAGAACAAAAATCAAAATTTAATTAAACTCCAAATAATATTAACCTATCCTTTTTATTGAGTGAGACGTAGCAAAAAGCAAGAACTATAGCCAGCTTGAGATAATTGCTTGGCATAAAAATGTTTGTAATGTTAATTGATTATATAAATCATTAATGAGAACTTCTGTTAAAAGGACATGACGCAATTTATCGTCAAGTAATGCAGCTCTTCTTTAATTTTGTGGAACATATATTTAATTGTGTAAAAAATCTTTAAAATAAAAATCATTTGCATACAATTAAAGATAAATTGCATATGTCATTCAAAAAAAATATAAATTGCATATAATTTTTTTTAAAAAAAAGTTACATCCGTTCAAATTTAGATTATTTTATTCATAAATTTCATGTAAAAAATAAATATAAAGATCATAAAAAATTGATTTTCTTTTATAAGTTTGATTTGTAAGTGATGCAAAATGGTTGTATTGAATCTGAAAATTAAGCATGGCTATTTTTTCAAATTAATTAAAAAGGTTACAAGCGGATTAAACATACAACTTTATCTTTATAGATGAACCTCCATATCAGTAGGTTGTAAAGTTTTTGACCCCTGGGTAGTATATTTGCTATGAAGTTTATAGTTTAAATAGACGTCAAATTGAAGTTATTCTTGTAGATTAAAATTCAGTGATCTGTCAGAGTTATTTTTTTTTAAAAAAAACATCAGGTCAAAAAATGTTAGAAAACTTCACATGTTTAGAAATTTATATATATATATATATAATATACTGCCTCCGTTCTTAATATAAAATCCTGTTTGACTTTTATTTTGATCCTAAATATAAGACCCCAATCCACTTTGTCTCTCATATTTATATATATATTTTTTCAAATAGCCCTTCTAACATAATAGTTCTAGTCAATATACTTAATTAGTAGGGATATTTTAGGAAAGACAACACCTATTTAGGACAAATAACTAACTCAACTTACTTTCTTAATCTTCTCAAATTAGTCAACTGATTCTTATAACTAGGATCGGAGGTAGTGTGTGTGTATACTAGATATTTTCTATTAAGAAGGTGCTGCGAAACCATGTCAACAAAATGTGAAGAGCAAGATAGACATTTTTTACTTTGCCAGGGTATTATTCTTCTCTTTCATTCATTCTAGACAATTCTTTTGTTTTTTTTTGGGCCTGACATTCTAGAGAATTCCGAAACCTCGTTGATCTCGAACATATTCTAAAGAAACCTTAACTAATATTTGTTACCCGCGTGTCCCTACTCACAGGTGTATGTATAATAATCAGAATAAGTTATATAAAAACATTGGGGGGAATGGAATCAACACTTTTCGTGGACACATAGCCCGTTACGTGTATGCCATAAAATAATTACATTTAGATCTTTCTTAGTTCAAATCTTGTATGAGAAGGAAAATTTTATATCCGTCAAAATTATTTAACCCGGCTGGCACTAAATGCTTATTTTAACTTTTACTTATTATTAAACATAGAGTTCAATGCTTGACCCTCCATGAGTATGCGTGAGTTCCCTCACTGGGTGAAAAATGATACCTCTCTTGTTATAAATATAATAATCGTTTTGTAGTGTAATTATATTTAGGACCAGAGAGAGTACCCTGAAAGATATTGATCTTATACGTAAGACTTATTTTATATGTTTATCAATTTTTTTTAAATTAACCCTACTGATATTCTTTAACAATAATCAAGTAGGAGAAGGAGAGAAGAAATTAAGAAAGATATTTATAGTGTTTTAGAAAAAAAATATCATATTAACTAATTTAAGCAACATTATTAATCTGCTCAAATTAGTTAATTATGTCTTATATTAAGAACAAAAGGTATTTTCAAATCCTTAATATAGTATTAATATCTAATTAACTAATTTGGAGAGATTAAGAAAATTAAATAAATTATTTTAAAATATTATATTTATCATTTTTTTCAAATTAATTTATCTGAATTATAACTTGATATATAATATAATGATACACATAAATATTTTAAAGAAATCATTTAACATATGTTATAATTAAATAATGTTTTAAGTTTCATATTTTTTCAAATTAGTCAACTTGATCTTATATTAATAACATGATTTGGTGAAAAAGAGAGAACTTTATATTCATATAATTCCACCCGTATGAATTAGAGCCAATCATCGTTATATGTGTTTCTAGAAACCAAATGATGTATCCAGAAAAAGAAAATAACTTATAAACAAACGACAAATCAATTCAACCCCGCTAACAACATTGAATGGAAAAAAATGATTGAATTCCCTTTAAGTCAAAGTATAATTTAGATCTTGTGAAGAACAAAATTATATTGAGAGAGATGTCAATTTCACAAACTCCAGAATATTAGAGATCATATAATTATATTGAAAAATAACTCACTTATGTTGGTTTGGTTTTAAAAGGAGAATTCATCCTAAAATATGAGCATATTCATCAGATTTTTTTTTTAAATTTATGAATATGACTTCTCATATGATGCTCAATGTGACACTTATAAAAGTTATCCAAGTCATCTAGATTTAGATTAACTTAAACTAAATTCAATCTAATTAAATTTCAGAAATTGGTTGTGGGGTTTGTGTTTATAAAGAAACTGAACTTTAAGTTATGAACTTGTAGTTCAATTACATCAAGTGTCTGTCTGAAACATTTTCTTTAATAATTCAATAGGGTCTATTTGGTATAAGAAAAATGGAACGAAAGGGAACGGGAGGAAAATTTTTAATAGACTCAATTTAAAAAATTGAATAAGTGGGGTAAAAAGTTTTTAATTAATTTTTATTACTCATTTATCTTGTAATTTCTATCTGTTAAAATTTTAAAATCTCACTTCTCTAATTTTTTAAATCAACCTCATTAAAGTTTTTTCTCTCCTCTATTTTTCTCATACTGAGCATAGAGTAAGCGTGAAGTGGTGAATTTGAACTCTTTGTAAAAGATAAAATGCGTGTACGAGTTATTAAAAAAAATTTAAATTGTAAAGAGAGGAATCATAGACAAGTTGAGGTGGTAGTGGATATGATCAAGTTTGGAGAGTGCATAATTGACATTTAGGTGGAAGAATGAATAAGAAATAGAAAAGTAGTGTAGGAATGAAAAAAGAGGATTTATGCGTAGTATTAAAAAAATGTGTGGTGAGAGGGGTGAAAAATATCTAGCTTCCCTTACCTAACTGTCTCCCACATCATCATAATTGACTAACAAAATCAAAATTTGGAAGAGGCACTTATTATGATTTATGATGAA